AAGCCTCCACCTGCCTACTGATCTCGGCATTCCAGGGAGGATTGTGCAACTCAAACAAGCCGCTATGACCCGCAGACGGGAAGTAACCGCCTCGGCCAAGGTTAACGAAGACAAACTTCGCCTTCCAACCGTGGATTGATGAAGGAAGGTCTGTAAACGTCCTCCTCTTGGGGACCTGCTGTAAGGCGGCATAACCGGCGCAATTCTGATGGCTCCCTCGGCCTATCCGGTAGAGATTGGTGAAAAGCGCAGTCGTCGGCGAAAACCCCAACTCACCGCAACGGATAAGGAAGCCGACGATGAGCGAGTAACTATTGGGCGTCAGCAAGGCCGGAGGCAGACTCACCATGTCAAGGTATTCCTTAATAAAAGGATGGAGAGGGAACCGCAACCCCTTCGCGAAGCTCATCGGGTATATCCCGAAATAACCCAAAGGGGGGCTCAGCACGTGATCCGTCGGCTTCGGCGCCCGCACCCGTCCATACGGCCCCACGTACAACTGAGCTACGTGATACTCGCCGAGGGTCCCTTCCGGCCGGATGATGTACAAATTGCTGAGGTCAAGTTGTGAATGCCCCTGCGGTGCCCCGTTGCGCTGCTTCCGCCGATACGGTTTCTTCGTCTTAGGAGCTGAGGGCCCTTCCCCCGCTACGGACGATATCGGCGGAGGGCAAGGAATGTTAGCAGAAGAGGATGCCTCATCCCCTCTCAGAGGCGAGCTAGATATCGCCTCGTCTCCACCAGAATGATGCGCTCCCGCATCGGCACTCATTCTCTCCTCGTCTACGGAAGTACGATAATCGGCGGTATTTTCCATTTCAATCTCAAAAGCCTCGATCAGTCGAAGATCAACTCCAGGGGACGTTTCGTCCTCGTCAAAAGGCCAGTCTTCTTCGTCCAACGAAGCTGTTAAGTCAAGGGGGGAGGGAGCGCTACGGCCGTCAGGAAACGGCATAACATCTAAAACCTAATCCTAAGGGCGGTTCTCGGATCAAAGTGAGTTTTCCTACAAACACTAGATCTAACCCCCTAGGAGGCAAAGTATGAAGGAAAAGCAAAAAACAAGAAAGAACTGACCTTTGAAGATATGAAGGTCTGGGAAAAGACTGATGAAGACTTGAAGGAACTTCGGAAGCGCTTCTCTCTCTAGAAATCTCAGCAGCAATTCGACACTTAGCAAATGCAAATGAGGAAGCGGCCTCGGGGTCAGGGGGTATTTATAAGCACCCCTCCAACGGTCACTACACGTGGCAATCTCCAATTGGCCACCTCAACGGCACCTCTTCTAGAACCAATCAGCGCCTGTCCTTTCACATTCCACTCTAGGGCCACCGCTACGGCCCAACAGGCCCCGAGACTAGGGTAGGCACCGGCCTACTCACTCAAAAACAAGGAGAAACCCGCTACGGCCCAATTTCACCAAAGGCATGGACGCATCAGCGAAACACGCTACGGCCCCAAAGCAGCCCCAAGAACCACAGGTACCGCTACGTCTACTCACGCGCACATCGTTTGATGATGACCCTGGTATTGCGGCCTTCGTCCAAGGGTTCTCCCACAGGGTTACCTTGGACAGGATCGCCTAAGGGTTGGACTCACGACTAGCACAAAGGTATCGTATCGGCTTGGGTACACCATGACTCCCTTGTGCCTCAAGTACTATTCGGCCAAAGGAGTGGGGGACTGGGGGACTATATCGGCTACAGAAAAAGGAGAACAGCATAAATGGGAACGCGACGGCCTCAACACACAGAGGATTCGCTACAGAAAACATTCACCTCAATAGCATTGCAGATCGCATCGGCTAAAAAGCCCAAGAAATTAGAGCCCAAAAACAAAATCCATCGCGCAAACGGCCACATACGCTGGAGGGACTAAATCGGCCACAAGAAGATAGAGCGCAACGGCCTTAATATAAAAGGGTGCGCTACGGCTCACCAGCAACCAAAGACGAACAATTCACCTCAGATAAGCATCGAGTCGCGTCAGCTACCTCAATGGCATCGCGAGTCGCGTCGGCCTAAAAACCCAAAATAAAAAGAAACTCACCATGCGAGACCCAACACGCAACGGCGGCGTACACTGAGAGGACCGCATCGTCTCACCAGAACAAGAACTCACCAGTCAAAACGCTTCAGCTGCATAACAAATCAACGGTGCGCATCGCATCGTCTACATAAACAAAATCAACCACCTTCACCTCATGAAAGTAGGTCTTCGTTACGGCCAAAAGGATAGATGGGAGCTCTTCAAACCCAACAAAATTACAATAAAAGCATGCCAGCTTGTCCACACCAAAATTCATCACATCTACAAAAAAGAAAGCGCATCGCCTCGTCTTCAGAAGCACTCCCACAGAGAGTGCATCGGCCCGCACCAAGGTTACGAATTCCCAAGCACGCTTCATCTACGTCAAAATAAAGGAACCGCTTCACCCAGAATCGAAGCAGAAACTCTTCGGCCATCAAAACGCCATAGGCTCACGCAACGGCCAGCCAGAAAGGAACAAGTACTCCCTTTCGCTTCGGCTTCGCCACAGCTCAGAGAGTGGGGGACTCCTGATAGAGTATATGGGCCTGGACCCCATGGCCCGCATACTCAAGTCAACGGTGACCAGGAAAACACCCACGTGGCCTCTTCGGCCCAGTGGGGTCCGCATCGGCCAGGATCGAACCGGCCCAGGAAACGCACCTGGACTTCCGGGTCCGCGTCGGCCCATGGATCGCATCGGCCATGGGACCGCGTCGGCCAAAAAGCACCGCATCGGCCCGGCCCCGTCCAGGCAGAATGTATTTCTCCACTTTATTTACTAAGTATTGTACACAGCCCATTAGTGGCCCTATTTCGCCCAAATGAGGCATGATTATTGTAATGGGCCTCCTAAGCCCATGGCTAGGAGCCCAAATCCACATTTTTACCTATAAATAGACCCCTTGGGGCTAGTTATAGGGGGTTGAGAAATATAATTACTCACTTTCTCTCTCTAGCTCTCACTTCTCTCTAGAATTAATACTCTATCATTTTCATTTAAATTATTATGATGATTAAATGTCATGGATTATTATAGATATTAATAATATGATTATTATCATAATGAAAGTTGGTGGAGAATAATGACATTTTAAACAGAATTGACTAAAATTACTGTAAAACACCATTTGAGGTATTTTTCATGTATTTTTTCTTAAGTTTATTTACTAAATACATGTTAAATATTTCTTTCCTAATTCATCATATTCACCGGATGTAGTTGTTATTGCTACTGCAGTCAAAATTTTATAAATTTCGGTAAATTGACCAAACAAGCTCTAATTCATCGCATCTAAAAAAAGATTTAGTTCCACTTTTGATCCTTCGAGTTTTGTGTCAATTCTACCTTTAGCCTACGTCTTTCACTTTATTCACTTTTGGCACTTGACTAATTTTTTTCAACAGTTTGTGGTCCTTTTCCGGCGATTCTAAGCATCGGAAACATTCCCGAAAGGATAATATATGAGCGAAAACCTAATAGTCACGACAAAGTAAAAGATATGAACTAAATAGGGAAAAGGGGCAAATAAACCATTGAACTAATCAAAAAAGTGCAAATCACCCCATATATAGGATATTTTGTCCGGTCGTCGCCATTTGGAGCGGTTCCCACTGGAATTTTTTTATGAAAGTTTTTGAGCATCTTTTTCATTAAGTCTAGTTTATCCATACCAAATTTCAGCTAAAAATAAAACTGAAAAGTTAGTCAAATGATTTTCTGAAATATACTGCGCTGTTTAACTGCGCTGTTATCTTCAAAAATTTATTTGACTGCCTTCCCGATTGAATTTGTATCTGAAATTTGGTATGGGTAAACTAGACTTAATGAAGAAGATGCTAAAAAAATTTCATCAAAAAATTCAACGGGAACCTCCCCAAATGGCGACGGCCGGACAGAGCCTTCTATACAAGGGGTGATTTGCATTTTTTTGTTAGTTCGAGGGCTTATTTGCCACTTTTCCCAACTAAATATGGAATTGATCTAAAAGCCACAGTATCAAAAGCATGAGAGCTATTCCTGTCCGGAATTTCCGGACAGGAGCCCAGTCCTGCCTCCTCCATTTGGGGGTCTTCCCGGTGGTATTTTTTGCTCAAAATTTTTGTGTATGTTCCTCATCAAGTCTAGTTCATCCATACCAAATTTGAGCAAAAAATTCAATTGGGAAGGTCGTCAAATGATTTTTTGCAAGTTAACTGGTCCGGAAAAATGTCGGGGGGCTACCTACGGGAACAATCCTCTTCCCATCTAGTATCAAACAGAATAAGCAAACACTATAAGACGATTTACCGACGGGAAGACGATTCGCCGACAGATGAAGACGATTCGCCGATCGGAGAATTGTCTGCTACTTATGAATGGAATGCTTTGATGCTTACGAATGAGAAGACGATTCGCCGAAAAATCCCCTTACTAGAACTAGGGGGATTTTTCTACACACTAATTTAATAACAACTATTTAGCAAGAAATTTTCCGTACCAGTTAACTTGCAAAAATCATTTGACGACCTTCCCGATTGAATTTTTTGCTCAAATTTGGTATGGATGAACTAGACTTGATGAAGAACATACACAAAAATTTTGAGCAAAAAATACCACCAGGAAGGCCCCAAATGGAGGAGGCCGGACGGGGCTCCGGTCAACAAATTCCTGACCGGAATATTTGTGTCAAAAGCATAATGTATTCAAAAACAAAATGCTTCCGTCTATCGGTTTACCGTTTACCCCTGCAAAGATTTCCGTTCACCAATTCGGAGGAAAGAATGCTAATTCGCGGCTTTTCGATGATGTTATCCTCCGCGACAACCTCCTCCGCTGCGCCTATCTTCGCCTTTCCCAGGAAATGCTTTCGATGCCCCCTTCCTTTACTCGCGAGATTTCTTACTGCCGGAAACCATTCTTCAGTTATTTGCACCGCCTCAACTTCCGACAGTCTTGCCCTCTACACCACCGACTCGTCAACTGTGCCCGACCTCGTACCCTCGGAATCAAAGCAAGTAAGATGATTGATGATTTCACCCTCTTATTTGCACTCGGATTCAATGTTCTTATTACTTGACCCTTTTTTTTAGTGCTTTGAGCTAAACAAAATTGTTAAAAATGCATTTAAAAAAGGAAAGAATCAGTGTTGAGTTAACTCAAAATGCTATCTTTGACAAAAATCGAAAATTTTTGCCATCTCTTAGAAACCCTTGAAGCCAGGTTTATATCTGGTAGGAACACCTATTGGGAATCTTGAAGATATTACTCTCAGGTACCATCAATTGGCCAATATTCAATAATCTAGTTTTTGTTAATCGTTTTCTTTTTTCCTTGTCGTCATGAAGATTGGTTCATGTTAATATAAGCAAAATATCCAATATTGAATAATGTATCACCTTTGCAGAGCTTTGAGAGTTTTAAATTCTGCAAATGTGATACTTTCTGAAGATACAAGGCATTCAGGGAAGTTGCTACAGCATTACAATATTAAGACTCCTCTTGTGAGTGACATCAGCGCTATTTCTTCTAGTATGCATCCCGATATGTTGATGTTTGTGAATAAATATAAAAAAATTGTGATGGTGAGCTTTAATGATAGTACCTAACAACACCAGATCTCACAGAAATGCAGAAAATGATAAAAAATATGAGAACAGGGTGAGAACTTTTATTCAGACAATAGGACAGATCACAAATGGATACAGTGCCCTAGGACCATTCGAGATGTCCAATCTCCCAGTCTATAATTATCTGAATAACAGCCTGCCTTATTTGTGCTACCCCAATTCTATTTATAGTACTCAGTCCACGCAGGGACCAAACTGAAATAAAGTAATTCACTAATTGACCCCCGCTCCCGTTTGCCTCCTTTTATATACTTTATTAAAGAAGTGACTAGGCCTTTGCACCATATGCCTATCATTTATATTTTCAGCTTAGCTATCACAAATTCAACGAATCTCAGAGGGAGCAATCTGTGTTAAAAAGACTTGGAGAAGGTCAAGTTGTGGCATTGATCAGTGATGCTGGAACTCCGGGCATTAGTGATCCTGGTGCAGAACTGGTAATCTTTTCTTTTCTTTAATGAGACACTTTAACTTGATGATACTATTGGGGAGGAAATAAATTTTGGGGAACGATAAGGAACAGACTAAATCCTGGTGCAGAACTGGTTAGCTTTTATTTAAGATACTTTTCTTTTTGAAACTCATTTGATTTATTTATATATTTCTCTCATATATAGACTAAGAAATCTTAAAATATATGATTACTTTTTATCATATTTCGTTTTCTTTTGTGATTTCCAAGCTAAACAGAAACTTAAGAAGACAACTTCCCTTATCATTTATTTCATTCCCTCAGCATTTGTCATGATCCAAATATACCCTAAAGATATGCCTTTTTGTTTCCTGTGCAGGCAAAATTATGTGTGGAGATGAATATACCAGTGATTCCTATCCCGGGTCCTTCTGCCCTCATAACTGCTCTATCGGCCTCTGGCTTACCTACTAACGAGTTCACATTTGGTAATGACGACTGGCAAACATGTGTGATTTGTCTAGGCAAACTTTAGTGGCGGTGTTGTTATGGCATCTGATGTTTTTTTAGCATCTAAATGCATCAGTTGGATTTCTCCCAAAACATGCTGGTTCTAGGAGAGAGAGACTGACGATTTCTTCAAATGAGGCAGCAACTCAGATTTTCTATGTTCCACCTCACAAGCTTTGCCATTTTCTTGAAGAGACTTCTTCGATATTTGGTGATTCTAGGTAAGATATTGTGAAAAGCTTTGGAGGTAGAGTTAGAGCTGCATTTTTTTGAGTTAAAAATAGGGAAATTCATATAATATAACATAGGCGAAATTTACAAGAATAATCCCTACTTTTAGGGATTCTACAATAACAATCCCTACTGAGTGTTCACAAAAATAATCCGAACTAGTAATGGTGTTCACAAGAATAAATTGGGGTGAATTCAAATTAATACCCGTTTGATACTTTCAACCCTTACTCCCACGTTTCTCTTCCCCGAGAGGCTGAGACGAGAATGGTGAATGGGTAAGTGGAGCTAGGGGTTAGGAGTATTAAATGAGCATTAGTTTGAATTCACTCCAATTTATTCTTATGGACACTATTGCTAGTATATATTATTTTTATGGACACTCTCAGTATGGATTATTATTGTAGAATTCATAAAAGTATGGATTATTCTTGTGAATTTTGCCTATATAACATAATAGTGTTCAATGGCAAATATATGAATACGGTTGTTGTCTGTGAAAATACCCACATGGTCATTGTGGTGCAAAATTGGATATTAACATGGTAGTCAATGTGAAAATGTCAGCATAATCATTGCACTGTAAAGGTTACATTTTTGTCCAATATTTTTGCATATATTAGACAAGAGGGCTAATTATTTGCATAAAGGTTACTTTGCATATATTTGTCATTATTTCTTAAAATATGTAGCATTCTTGCAGGCGGTGTGTCATAGCACGTGAAATGACTAAAATATATGAGGAGGTACGGTATTGTAAACCCGCCAATAGTGAATTCCAACCTATTTCCAACCTATTTATATTTTGGGCATATGGATCATATTCTGAGAAGTTCCTTTATGGATGGAATGGATTTAGTTTTGGCATGGTAGTATAGGCCAAGCCAAAGAAGCTTTTTCAACACGCCAACCTAAGGGTGAAATCACCTTCTTGCTTGAAGGAAAATCACCTAGTACAGATGCCGCTCCATCGGAGTCCGAATTGGAGAATGAATTGAGAGAGCTTATATCGAAAGGCAACACACTTTCAATGGTACTTTTCCCCTCTTTCTTCGTGTTATTCCTCTAATAATATTACTAAAACACAACTCATAGACCACATTATGAGTACATGTTATTCCTCTCTAATAATATTACTAAAACACAACTTGTAGACCAAAATATGAGTGCATGATCACTATAGTTATTCTGAAAGCTACCAACATGGTCACTAGAGTCACGGTCAAAACACCATTCGTCACTAAAGTCAATGTGAAATCATCATTGTAGTCACTTTAGTCACTCTGAAAACAGAATCATGGTCACTGTGGAAGTGTGGAGTAAAAGTTGTTTTTTGTTTTATACTTTTATAGTTTTATGTAAAAAAGTAAAGTTGATAGAAACACAGAGTATTATACTCTATATCATGGGGTGCCAGACCTGATTTTTGCACCATATTAGCACTTAAGATTTAATCCTAAAAGATTAACCTAATATCATGAGTAGCCCATTCTTATATACTGGTTCAATTATCATTGCATTTCAATAGTATTTCTGCATGTGGTTGATCGTGCAAATTAACTGCCTTTTTTCTCTTAATTACTCGCACGGAAAAAACTAATTGCTGCGTATTTGCATGCTATTCTTGTAAATAAATTGATATCATGCAAGCGTTTTCTGGTTATGATATGGAGTTCAGTTCATTCTTATGTGATTTGATGAATGATTGGAGGGCAGGCAGTGAAGATGGTGGCAACCTGCAAGTCTCTGAAAAGAAAAGCAATATATTCTCTTGCACTTAAGAAATTCGGTAAGCAACTTGAATCCGAGGATGATGATGATGATCCAGCTTGATGACCCTGTACAGAAAAACAAAGAAAGAAAGAAAGAAAGAAAGAAAGAAAGAAAGAAAGAAATAAAGAAAGAGAATGTGTTGGACTATAGGTGTGCTTGTTCAATATATTATTCAGCTGGCATTGATTACAGAAAGCCTGGACGGGTCTACCTTCTGCATACAGCTGTTGTAGAAGGAAATATTCTTTTGGGAGTCCACAATGCATGGTCTAGGCAAAATAGTCAACTTCTGATTCAAACAGCGTTTATACCCATCGTGATTTTGTTCCCCATAGCTCTGACTTTTTTTTTGAAGCAGTAGTTTTTGGTAATTTCATTCCTCCCTCTGACTTTCATGGGAAATATATTATCCACCAAGGACCTATAATGTGTACAGTCCTATCCTGTGATGCTGAACCCCGCATTAAAGATATAGTTCTTGTAGAATATTAAGGTCAAGCAACCAAGAATACTTTGGTGGTCGGCAATGCTGTTTTATATAGGTCAGAATATGGAATATCGCTGGATTTGTTACCCAGAAATATCAAATTACAGTGGATTTTTATTTTTTATATACTCTTATTATATACTACGTACAATTCAAAGATTTTTATTAAATTTTGCAACGCCCTTTGTCTTATGTTAACAAGGTAACGTACTTTGTCTTATCTTAACAAGAGGGTGTTCACTGTTCAGGATCGAGTGCACCTTAAAAAATCATTTTTATCACATCATGTCGCATTCGGGTTACATCAATCAAAATCTAGATAGCTTGGTAATTGAAAAAAACAACTTTACACTATCATAAAGCAGTCCAAAAACTTTTTAAGAATTCTCACACGTTTGTCATACTTACAATTTTGTTTCTTGTATTGGTAATATACTAATAACGGGCTCTTAAATTTTCTATACGTAATATCTTAGCTTGTTCAAAAACAAAAACAAAAACTCTCTTCTACTGTTCCATAAAAAAATTAGCTCGTAAGCCAAAAAAGGTTAAAACGGAATTCTAAATTTCAGTGTTCATATTAAAATGAATTTTCCACCGCTTTGTTTAAGTCTACCAACCGGTGGTTGCGGATTCAGACCCTTAAACCATCAGCCCCACCCCCAGCACACACGCCACCACAATGCCCAAAAAAGTAAACGGGAACAAACAAAGCACCAACCCCTCTACCTTTGTCCATTCATTAACTTCTCTTGGCTTTTTCCATTTATGGAGTTTTCATTTTTCTTCATTTTTTCTTCAAAACAAAACGAACCAACACTTGGCTTTGTGTGTTCTTTGGGTCTTCCGTCCTGGACCCACCTCAAGACAGGAGGTTTGAAATAGTTGATGGAGAATATAATAATACTTCACTCGTAATTGGGTTGAAGAATGGAATGGAAGAGTTGACACTTGATTGTTTTAGTTGTTTGAATATCAGCTCTTTCATAGCTATGTGTTAATGATAAGACAGTAAGAATAGTCCTTTTTGCAATGCATCAGCTGGCCCGCTGATGGTGGGATAGTTCAGATGATAAAGAAGAGTAAGCTGTTTTCCTAGGATGTTTGCGGATCAGCTAAGGGTCTACATGGAAAAGCTTCTGCTTTAATTAGTTACAGTTAAGTTTTCTTTCCAGGTACTCTTTTTAAATGTTTGCTAAGGTTCTATCATGTTGTTTCACTTCATGAAGGTAATGCTTTTTTCTTTTGTGGGTGTTCTGGTAGTTAAAATTTTATTGGATATTGTGGAGAATTGCTGTGATGAAATGTACTATATATGATGATGATGATAATGATGATGATGATCACTACAACCACAACAACAAAAGTAGTGTAATCATATGAGTAAAACTATGCTCTAACATCATCACTCACTCAAAGGATGGATGTTTTTGCACATCAATAATAATCTCCAAATCTTTCACTTCAATTTTCTTTGTTCCTAGCATAATTAGTAACTATTTTGCTGTCAAGAGCTGTATAAATGGTAACAGTGCTTTATATTGCCTGAAATACCTTCAATCCCCCGGGTCCAGACTCCAGACAGACCTTGACAAATCTTGTGTTTCTTTGGATGATGGTGAGTCTAACATGTTAGTTGACTCCCTACCCTCCTTTCCTCCCTTTACAGGTTGATCACCTCACTTGTAGGAGAAAATTGGAATATGTTGTGTTTACAAGTTTGAGAGAGGTGGAATAGTGGGAGGTCAAAGTAATATGGCGACTTATTATTCATGGGGTTCGACCAGTAACGAAAGAGACTCTCCACTCCCACTAATGCCACATCATCCGTCTGATCTTCTGATGATGAATGTTACCCCCAATAGCACAGATCCTCACGCTGCTTCTTCCATTGAGGAGCCTTCCGACACTTTCGATATTGAGCAGTATGAAAACGGACAACAACTATCTCTCAGCTTGGTCATGCAAGTTCCATCATCATACCGTGATGACCACCAGTTTCAGGGTGGCTCATACTACAATGAAAATAAAAATGTTGAATACTTGTCGTTTGATTCAGCTGGCAAATCTGGTGCCATTGACAACCTCAGACAGATGGATTTTATTAGCACACGCATACATGAAGCAACTGACATTTATGATTCCAAATATCTAAAGGCTGCACAGGATTTACTTGACGAGATTGTTAACGTCCAATCATCATCCGCTACAACAAAACAACCGGACAGACAGTACATTTTTTATTCATTTGCTGAAAATTTGTCTGAAGAGGAGGCTTCTGCTCTTATGATGTCATCCAGCTGTGCACCGGATATATCATCTGCAAAACAATGTGATCTAGATAACAAGATGAACAAGCTCTTGTGGATGCTAAATAAGGTGGGGTAAATGTTCCCTCTGTTATTCTTGAGGTAGTACTTATTAGATTTAGCTGGTGTTCTCAGAAGTTATTGTGGAGCTTATGGCTTATTTTAAGCTCCAAGTAAAGTTATCATCTCCGTTTGGTAAACAAGAAAACTCTTATTTGAAACTCCATATTGTTAAAACTATCCCAGATCTGATCTTTACAAGATTTGTGTTTATGGAGCAAGCCTCCACTTTTCAGAATCATATTACGGCAAGTTAGGTCCAATTTAGAAGTATCCAAGTCCACTGTAATTGTGTTTGTTTGACATCATGGTTTGGATAGCCAGTATGGGGTATTGGGGTAGTTTGGCCCATATATCCACCTCAAGTTCTCATTTAGAGGAGTGTTAAAGTGCCAAAGTGCCATACGTATTTCAGACCTATTTGGGCTAAGGGCGTATTAAAGTGTCCATAAACCTCATCTCTTGAGGATCATTTTAAGGGTGTATTTGATCCAATGCGGCATGTCTTCGATAACTTATTAGAAATAAGCTCCTAACTTTTCTTTTCCCATGACAACCGATTTCTTTTCCAAAACACCACTTTTTCTCCATTGATAATTGATATAAGGAATTTCCTTTTATTAAATCAGTTACTTAATAGCTAGACTTTAGCTTTTAGCTCCTAGCCACTGACCTATCAGCTATTCAGCTCCATGTGTCAAACACGCCCTTAGAATCTATAGATCTCCTTAGCCCAGTGTATTAACTAATGCTTTTAGCATAATAAACTTGTTTATGTGTGCATAGGTGGACATGTCATACAAACAATATTATGAACAGATGCAAATTTTAGTATCATCCTTTGAGATGGTGGCTGGGAGCGGTGCTGCTAGACCATACACATCACTTTCCCTCGAAACCATTTCCCGCCAATTCCGTTGCATTTGTGATGCAATCAAGAAGCAGATTCAGGCTACCCGAGGGGAGGGTCAAGGTGGTGGTGGTGATGATGTTAGCAATACTAGCCAAGGAGGAAAAAGGTTTTATCGGCTCCGTCAAGTGGATCACAAGCTGAGGCAACAAAAATTGCTTCAGCAATTTGGTGTGATGAGACAACCTTGGAGGCCACTTAGAGGCTTGCCTGAAAATGCTGTTTCTATACTCCGTGCTTGGCTCTTTGAACATTTCCTCCACCCGTATGTTTGCTACTAGACTTGCACTCCATGATTTACCTTAGGTCCTTAATACTTGACATTTTAATTCCCCCCCTATGTTCTAAAACATACACATTTGACTTTACAGTGGCATATATTAGAATAAACAAGGGATAAGGGTCAGATAGGGCCTCGAACTTGGAAAAAAATGTCAAATAAGGCCATATTTAGGATGCTATGTCCGGTTGACGCCATTTGGGGCGGTTCCCGGTGAAATTTTTTGATGATTTTTTTTGAGAATCTTATTCATTAAGTCTAGTTTACTCATATCAAATTTGAACTAACAGTTCAATCGGGAAGACATTCAAATGAATTCTTGAAGATAACTACGCTTTTAACTGCACAGTTATCTTCAAGAATTCATTTAAATGCCTTCCCGATTGAAGTTTTAGTTCAAATTTGATATGAGTAAACTAGACTTAATGAATAAGATTCTCAAAAAAATTCATCAAAAAATTCTATCAGGAACCGCCCCAAATGGCGTCGGCCGGACAGAGCATCCTAAATATGGCCTTATTTGACATTTTTTTTCAAGTTCGAGGCCCTATCTGACCCTTATCCCAATAAACAATGAGGCACATTGAAACTAGTATCAGGAGTTTTCTTTTCTATTCACCTAAAGAAACTCCCCATACGAGTTCCATTGCTTATGACACTGTTTTGTGTTTTTTGTCAGGTACCCAAAAGAGACAGAGAAAGTAACACTTGCGAGACAAACAGGCTTAACAAGAAGCCAGGTACGTAAACAAGGACACAATTACTTGAGCTTATGCTCCGTTTAGCGCCCATAATTGGTTGTTCAAATGCATGTATAATGTCAATGATCATTAAACATATTCGATTACACTACATTACGGTTTATCAAATGTTGCTTTATCTTCCCTTTTTGGAACATATTAATGAGGGTAAATTTTGGACTAGGTGGCGAACTGGTTCATTAATGCACGTGTCCGCCTTTGGAAACCCATGATTGAAGAGATGTACAAGGAGGAGGTCGGCAATACCGAGGCAAACCTCACAAGTTCTTCATAACAATTACAAGCTGCTAATTAAAGCTGATCCAAAGATGAAGTTATTTTTCATCATGATATGGATTGTTTGTTCTGCTAAATGGGGTGATAAGAAGCATTCTTGTAGTTTATATTATCTTTAAACACAAACATTGATATAGTTTACCTTGGCATAGCAATAGCTAAGTGTATACGTGAAATACTAATACACTACTGTAGCATATTTTGTTTGACTGTGGGGCAATAAAAGATTTGAATTTTGCAGAAAAGTTCGCAGCTTTCTTTAATTTCTTTCTACATATGTGGTACACATCTTCTTTCTTTCTATAACTTATCAGTTTGTCAGTATCTTCTTGCATGCTACAACTTCTGAACCTCAATCTGATGTTGTATAAAAATATGTTTATTAAAAGCCATCTTTCTAAAAGTTGAAATCTACTTTCTTGCTACCCAGAATCCAGAATCAAGCCTAAGGTAAAAAAATATGATTTTTTACCCCCTCCATCAGGCAGCTCTCAATCACAAAGGAGTGAGTGACAACTGCTAGGCCGAACAGATACAAATGTGGTAATCATTAAATTAAAACATTTTCATGTGTTGACACTAATAACTACCATTCTACATTTCAACTCATGTCAATCGTGGGTCCCATTAAAACCGTCATTTCATGTAATAAAGTTTTAATCTTTTCACCACTTAACAACCCTAAACAACAAAGGTAAAAAACTATTAAAAAATACAGTTTGTAGATGTATTTCTTGAGGAGAAGTTCATCTAGATTTTAGTGTCCTTACGAAATTCCAAGTATTCCAGCAACAGATAAATTTTAAAAATATACCCTCTCACATGTTTACGATTCCCAGCACAGACAATCTACATTTGCAGATTCACAAATCACAAGCAGACAATCTTACAAAAAAGAGAGAAAAAATATATGTGTGCCAAAAATGGCAGCATACTTTTTTTCACTTTCTTTTTCTTTCCCTCCAGAGCGGCAGAAACCCCTTCTGCAGCACACATATACCACATTAATGTCATCTTTCTGTGCTTCATTTAACTTCTTTCAACTGTAGCCTCTGTGGGTTGACAGTACGATAATGCTGGAGCCTGAAAGTGCTTTTTGAGTGTCCCAAAGATATTTAGTTTGTAACTTTGTATAGAATTTAAAGCTGAGGGAGGGTTCGAGGGTGGTGGTGTTAGGGGGGCCATAACTTTCGTCCTCATTTTCAGCATTTTCGCATAGGCTTCATAGCTTCCTTGCTAGACTTATAGGTTGTGGTAAGGATTGGAAAAATAAAAGTAAACAATGGAATCTTTTCTTTCTTTCTTTAGTCTCGAATGAATGAACTGATTATCAGGTCAAGGTATGATTGTTTGTACAAAAATTTAAACATGGCAGGCTCATGTATGTGTATATATGCATATGTTTGTATGTATACATCACACACTACTTCTAGCCAAGCTATCTTGAAAGATAGATGTGCATATTCTCTCTGCCTTCGTTTTCTAAGAATCTCAAAAAGGGGTTTAATCACTTTTATGATTCTTGATTAGTTTTTCGTGTCAAAAATCAAATCTGTTTTCATCCCTGACAATATTTTTGGCATCCTTCAAGTCTTTGACAATGGTTTCTCAGAATTCACATCAAGAACCCAGTATTCTACATCAGTTTACCACTTCATACTCCATGACTGGTCAACCACACGGTCTAGGCTTTCATTCTTTTGGTCAACCTCAAATAACTCACACTAGACATGTCATGGATGATCTGCTTAGAGCCCAGAAACTCTCACCACCTTGGCAAACATCACTAAACCAAATCACCAGTGCCATAAACCCAGCTTTTGTCAACCAGATGGGTATGTGTGGTTGTATCTCTTCTTCCCCAACCAGTTCAATATCCATCTTTTCTGGAACTGGTGAATCTTTCTTAACTCAGTCGAAATATTTAAGGCCTGCACAGTTACTTCTTCACGAAATGGTTAGTCTTGCTGAAAAGCCTTCACATTCCGGTTGCAGTGAAAAGTACATCAAGAGACTATCACGCCACGGCAAGAAAGGATCTTTCCGGCTCCGTTCTGTTCTCAGTGTTGAGTTTCTGGATAACGATAAAATTGTGGAGCTGATTGCTTTGCTTGAAGGGGTATTTTCATCAATGAAGAAAATATCTTTATTTTCATATGGAACTTTTGTGTAACATGGGTAAATTTTCAGGTGGAAAGTGGATATGAGAAATATTATCATGAAATGGAAGAGATAGTGACTTCATTTGAGGCGATAGCCGGAGTAGGAGCAGGGAAGTCATACACTGCACTTGCACTTCAAGCCATGTCTAGACATTTCTGCAACTTGAGGGAAGCTATCTTTTCTCAGATAAAGAAGGTAGTGGGAGAAATATCAGAAGATAAAACGCAGAAGTTTGACACAAGAGAGGTTAGGATTCAGAGGGTGTTTCTTCAACAGCTTGGGGCTGTACAAAGCTTGAGGCAATCATGGGGGCAAATTAGAGGGCTTCCAGGGACTTCTGTGGCCATTCTTCGTGCTTGGCTATTTGAACACTTTCTTCACCCGTACTAATCATATTATTTTTGTTATTATTTCATTAATCTATACTCCGTATATTTTTTCGGTTCATGAAATGATTTAGTGAGTAGTGGTTTGTTTTTCTTTTAAGATATCCGGATGATTTGGAAAAGCTGATGTTGGCGTCACAGACAGGCTTGACAAAGAATCAGGTAATCTTCATTATGAGTTTGGCTTTTTTTTTTGCTAAAGATTGAAACTTTTTGAGATGTGGTTTTGTGGGTATGAATGATAATGCTGTTTAAGGTGTCAAACTGGTTTATAAATGCTCGAGTTCGGCTATGGAAGCCTATGATAGAAGAACTGTACAGAAAGGAGTTTGCAGACGCTTCAGAAGAATCGACTATAACTAAACAAGCTGCTGCTATCACATATTCTGCAGTGGAATGACAACATCCTCTCCCTTTTTTTGCGTGAAGTTTAAATCTGCAGTTGAGATGATTAACAGTTTGTTCTGATTATTAACACTGGGTTAAGTTTTGCAAAGGTTTTCTTGCTCGGGCAATTAGAAAAAAAGATCTTATTAGTTTGGTAGAACTTTCCGTTAAAAGATGATGTTTCAAAACATGGTTGGAACTTGGAAGATCAATATTTTGTCCATTTCCATTGTGTGTGTTTAGGGTTTAATTGTGTGCTTTTAAGGTAAATCAGTGCATTAACCTGATGTGATTCAAAAATATACTCCGTATGTTTAAACATGATACAATTTGTTGATTTATAGTGGTAATCTTTTTAGAATCTATTTGGTGACTCTTTTTTCGGTTATCACGTCATCAATCAAATTTTTAACCAAACACTTAACTTTTGATTTCGTCCACTGAATTATGTAATACCCCGAGTAATATGAAAAGTAATGTCGGAGTTACTTTTCTGGCTATATTGGCTAAAGTTACTATAAATAACCATTTTTGCTATTTTCGCATATAATTTTTTCTTCTGTTTATTAATAAAATATATTTTAAATATAATTTTTTTTCATAAATCAGCAATATCATTTCATACAACCACTTCAGCAGAATCAGCCGATTTTAGGGTTACCAAATGGGCTCTTAATCAATCACCGATGATAACAATCTATATTCGACAATGAAACAACCCTGACTAATATAATAGGTCTCCTCCAATTCTTTGTCATGTTATGTCAAGAGTATTTAATTTTATTTTTTAGAAGGTTTTAATAAATATTTAAAAAATGTGAATGAGTAGTTTCACATTGTTTTAACTCTCATGTTCGACTCAAAAAAATTATAAAAGGACTAATTTAAAAGTTTCAAGTAGTTTTATACAACTGACAATAATTTTTTTCTTATATAGAGTGAGTACAGAATTAGAAGTAGACTAGAAACAAAACAGTATATATTACAGAGATGAAAAAAATGCACGAACGTAATACAAAGTGCATCATATTTACACGGACTAAGAATGTATTTAAGTCAAACATATATCAATTGTGATTATTTTTGCAATGAATACACTAGATGAAAAGTTTAATTGTTAATTTTATAATCGTAGTTTAATTGTTAAATTAAAAAAATGATTAATTTTTTATACAACATAATTATTTTGAAATATTTAGGTGCATAGTTGATCATAAAACTATGACACGCTATTTGAAGACAACTAAAATTTGTTGTTTAAAGGTGTTTTGTGTGCGAGTAATTATAACACACAAGTGTGTTTGACATATTTTTAAATTATAAGAAATTAATGAGCGCAAAATTTGTATATCATGAGAGGGTTTGACGCATTAAACATATATCTTTACATTTGGATCCCTAACAGACATTCTTATGGCCTATTTGAAAATGGATTCCAAATGTATCTTATTGCTTGTTTGAGCCCCATAAAATATTGGGAAAAAGAAAAACAAAGCCAAAAGGCTAGGGTTATTGATGGATAATTGTACACTAGTTTAGAGTAAAATTAGAATTACTTCTAGAGAGAGGAAGTATAGACTCCTCGCTAATACCATTTTCCTCTACATTCTAGTTTAGTTAATAAAATACATTCAACATATTTTTTGACATATGAGTTTAGTAAAATATTAATTAAATTATTATAAGAAATTTTTTCCTTGACTTTATTTTTGATAATTATGAAATTAAAATACACACTTTTTGATGCTAAAAATAAAATAGGATCATGTATAGTTCGGTCGTTTGTGGAGACACCATATATTAAAAAAATCCAAGCTCTAGCAGAGTTGAATGTGGGATGTTTAAAAATAATTATGTATGTAATATTGATATCACATAAAAGGTCATAGAAACTTATGACTTTTAATATATTTTTGTAAAATTTGAAGTACAATGTATTTTTACCATAAAGATTTAAGGAAGACAATGTATTGATAGTGTTTTTAAAGTTAAATAATTTAACTTTTTAAGTATTTTCATATAATATAAAAAAAATGCCATAAAAATAACTCAATATATTCATTTTTTTCATTCGCCGGTGGATCGGAAATCAGGATTTAACATAATTGTGTTGTGTGTTGATGGTTTGAATATCACTGAAACTACCGGTGAAATAGAAAATATTACAAAGTACTCCCTCCGTCCCGTTGGAATGTTCCTGGTTTGACCTACACACATATTAAGGAAATAAACTTACCAGGAGGTAAATTTTACTGTTTGGACACTGTTTGGACACTGTTTGACACTGTTTTGCACTGTTTGACACTGTTTTGATGTAGGATAACTTTCCCTTTAGGGAAATGAAAACTTTCCATTGGGACATCCAAAAAAGGAAAGTGGGAACATTCCAACGGGACGGAGGTAGTATTTCATGAGAAAATTCAAAAGTAAACGATTTTGAGAGAGAAAACTGCCCGAGACTTCAAATTAAACATTTGAATATATCCATTAGTTGTGTCGACGGTCGAGAAGGTTTTAAATAGATTTTGCATTGATAGAACTTACCAAGTTATCCTTTAACGTCCCAAATCCCAATGGTGATATGATATCTCTATGCATAATGTTCCTTCTCATCCGTGAAGATGAAGAAATAATTATTCTTTAAGTGCATTACTTCAGTACGTGCTATTGTAGCTTTAACAGTTTAACCCTTTGGCCAATAATACTTGAACATATTTGGCATGTCATGTGAAAAATGACATTAAAACAAATACTACACTATATATTAGAATGTGATAAATGATTCTGATGTATTGCAGCATATCTCATCTTACTAGGATTTGCACATATGGATACTTATGAGATCCACAAAATTAGAAAGCACAAAACGAAAATATTTATTTACTTATGGTAATACTTAAAATTGTGGAGACAGTGAAACAGGGGCTGATTGTCAAACCAAGGTGACTCGATTGCACTTTGAGGAGTAGTATGACAACATGTGCAATTATAGTCTATGATGCAATATGTATAATTGTATAAAGCAAATGTAGCATAAAACTGTTTAGATGATAACAACTATATCGTCAGGGCTTGCCCTTTTATGCAGACACTTGAGAATTAAGATGAGACTCATCGAAATCTAACAAGATTAAGGCTTCGTTTGTTTTTTAGTGGGTGGGTAGCAAACCACTGCATTTTGCAGTGTTTTGATGTTATAATTGATTAGCGGTTTGCTCCATCTGCTATTATCCAAACTGCACCTAATAAGAGACCGTTTGAAAACCTATGGTGCCGACATATGAGCCAATTTTACTGAATACGGTAAAAAAGTATCCCATATGGATCAGGTAGTTACTACCTTACATGAATATGTATAATACACAAATGTGGTAGCCTAAATGGCGAATCCCCCTATTACACTCCAAAAGCAGTGTCTAAATCTTATTCTACTATAGTATGATATATTTAAATTTGATCAGATTTGATCATATTCTAGTCTAATCCGATGTGACGTGTGAAACCATTATAAGTGTAAACATCCTAAGTAGAACATTTACATTAGCATATGAACTCAAAGAGGTCAATGTCTCTTTCTCAAATGGTAGAAACTAGAAATGTTAGTAATATATGACAAACCTCAGAAATGTCAATGATAGTTTTTCCTTATACTATCGTATATCTAAAATACGAAGACAAGAAATAAAGTAAATGTACTACTATGGCCAAGGTTTAACTCCCCTCAACCCCACTGATTTGGCCAAGGTTTACTGATTAAGAAAGATCTTTGGAATAGAAACAATGCTGAAATAATGCTAAGAAATTTTATTGCTTTGGTTCGGTTTTACTTAAAAAAAATTGAAATATGACCAATGTTGTTTGAAGTTAACATACATTTACTCATAGTAATAAGTAAGCAAATTTCAACATTTATATTGTTTCTTATGGTGTTTTTACTTTTCAGTCCCAGATCAAACAAGATTAGACCAGACTTAAACAGATCAAATCAGACTTCTATAATTATAAAATACACAAAGATCAGATAACTATCAGACTAGACTACACCGGTTCAGATTAAACTAAGAAATGTAATTGAGAATTAAAATGAGGAAATTTCATTTCATTTGAAATAATAGTCATTTTTTGTACAAATTAAATCCGGAGGCAGCCAGGGGCGTAGCTAGGGAGTGGCCACCCCTGGCCCTGGCCCAGCCCAAATTTTAAAAATGTTTAAATTTTTAGTGTAAAAAATTCTGTGTAAATTTTTTTCAAAAATATTCTTTGTACCGGTCCAGTCCGGCCCAGTGTCCTGGCTCCGCCCCTGGAGGCAGCTAAATGGAAGAACTCTAGAAAACGAATCAACTTGGATAATCTGGAAATGCTTCTAGATTTGGTTCTAAAACATCGTGGAAGAGATGAGTAAATTAGCCAACCCAAATCACACATGCATGCAGTATGAGTTGCTTCACTAATCGAATGCAGTCTACTTTGAGCATGCACTAAATCACACATGTTCGTAAAATTTGGACTACTAGAGGAATTAGAGCAAAAAAAATGGAGTATTGGTGATTGTCAAAGACTTGATCGTTAGACCCGTTCAAAAAGTTCAATCCATTGTGCCTTCCATAAATTAAAAACACTAGTTTTACGTTCAGCAAACCAACATTATAGATTTGAAATGTATTTCAACCATCGGTTAAAAAATCGAAATAACTTTGAATAAGGATAGGGTGATTGCTTTATCGTCGGTCAAATATTGTAAATCAAATTGTCTCAAACATAGTATGACAGAGGTAATATACAATCTATACTAATATAAAAAGGGAAACCAGGACAACAAGTATATTCCTTTCTCAAAGTTGCAACCGTGTATTTTTTTCGAGGAAAAATTTACAACCGTTCAATAACAGGTACTTCATGATTTATAGGTTTGGCAACTGCTCGACATTATTTGACCATCACATGGTTCCCAAATGTGTCATTTAACTGCTTTTACTCCTTTGAAAGTTGTCCATGAGGCGGTGGAATGTATATTTTGAGATAGATGATATCATTATAAATTTACAGGTACGCACTTATTTTGAAAGTTGTCCACGAGTCTTCATATTTCATGCGTGGTAGGGGGTTTATGATACATCTGATGCAGACATAATGTGTGGAGATAATGCGTGGAGAACATTCACAACCATTGTTTGAACATTTTAGATTTATAACGAATACCAAATTGAACTCAATCAGTTTAGTTTGCTTTTAAAAACATTGGAACAACATGCTAAAGTCGAAGTCCTTTTCTAGGAAAGATTAATAGTCGAAGTTCACTTTTATAAGATTAAAATACACATAGTTTTTAGATTATTAAAAACTATTATCCATTCTTATAACTTTATAAGATTAAAATACTCATATGCAAAATTATTTTACACAAGCTAAAGTAAAACTTTTTAATAAATACTCCTATTTAAAAGTTCTCTACAATAGATTTGAACACATCATTTAAGGGTGAAATAGTAGAGATAATAAATAGTGTAAAAAAAAGTAGAAGAAATGATGTAAAAGTATGAAAGAGAAGCTAACAAGTAAAAAAGTAAAAATAATTGAATATTTTGTTAGAAATTACTTATCAAAAAGAGAATGTATGGCAAATTTTTAAGTACATCCAAAAAAAGAAAGTATAACAAACATTAAAATATGAGAAAAATATTGATTAAGATATTTAGATATCACAAAATTAAACTATTGACTTGAGGTAAAAAAAATTAAAATGTTGACTGAAATATAATATTGTCCCGTGTATCGCACGGGTACAATACTAGTTGTTATTAAACTACAATCGTATAATTTTTTTCATCAAAAACTTATATTAAGTCATGAAATAAATTTTGATGATTTGTAATTCAAAGTGGCTAGTGATAACTTTGGTTATACATTCAAATAGTAAATACTACGTATATCATAGTATTAAAATTGAACTTTATACTCCGTATAAATGTATAATGTTTGTTACCAATTACTCCGTAGAACAATTGAACTTTATTACGTATAATATTTCCCTAGAATTTACTATTGATATACTCCATATATGTCATACCTCATATAAGTATGATTTAAGGGTTTTGCTAGGTGTACACAAAATGTGTACACCTTTTTTGTACACTTGTCTGTCCCAGGCAAACAAGTTGTCTGTCACAGACAATTCATATATGAGTTGTCTGAGACAGCCAACTTGTCTGCCTGGGACAGACAAGTGTACAAAAAAGGTATACACATTTTGTGTACACCAAGCATTTTTCATGATTTAAAGTAAGTTTTACGTTTAAATATGCAGATTGCATAGAGCCAGAGACGCAGAGTACACTATCAAATGGAAAACAGCTACTCTTAATACGGAGTATTCCGTATTAATAATCAGTTTAACCCTCATAACAAATGTTTTTACCAAGCTTTTTAAAGAATAACTTTTCACCTCAATTAGATGTTACCGAAAGTAACTATTCACTGCTACTCGTCCAATCCGTTCACAAAAGTTTAACTCGCATCTGAATTACAGGACTTGAGGAGTCCCATTTTGTTCACGTGGGTAAACATCACCCATTCCCTTCCCTAGCTACAATTTGTCATTGTTACTATTTTCAAAATTGTTATCATTTTTTATTTGTGCTTCATTTTTTATAAAAAAAGATATAATACCTCCGTCCTCCTAAGTTTCGGACAAAGGGGTATGGTGTGATTTTTAAGAAAAAGTAGAATTGTGTGATTTATATTAAAAGGGTGTTTGGATCTGATTCTTAAAAATGATTCTACTCTTTCAGGGAGCAGAAACAGAAGTTGGAGTGTTTGGGTGAAAGTACAGAAGTGATTCTGGTGCTCTAATTTACTCCTAGAATCAGTTTTTTTAGAAGTTGGGGGAGACCACCTTCTGAAAACTGATTCTGATTCTGTTTTTGCTTTAAAAAAGAAGCAGAAGAAGAATTAGTTCCAAACACCCTCTAAATTGATAAAGTGTGAAAAAAAATACAAATGAATTCTAATCACTCACATATTACCAAATATGGTTGTAATACCCGAGATTAATTTAAGAGGATTAATAGTACTACTCATACTAACAGAGGTGCATCTCCTTTTAAGGGAGCTCATCACCCAAGAACTCCAAAGTTAAGCGTGCTTGCACGGGAGTAGTCTTGGGATGGGTGACCCCCTGGGAAGTTTCTCAGGGCGCGCACGAGTGAGGACAAAGTGCGCGGTAAAAGCTCGTGGTGGTTTGTGGGGACAGTACTATTGGTCCGGAGTAACTACCTCGGGTCCGGTGAGACCAGGGTGTTACAAATGGTATCAGAGACACTTAGCAGGGGAAAAGATTCTGGGGTTTGATTGAGATTGGTATAAGGGCGCAACGAGGACGTTGCGATCCTAAGTGGGGGTGATTGTAATACCCGAGATTAATTTAAGAGGATTATAGTACTACTCATACCAACAGAGGTGCATCTCCTTTTAAGGGAGCTCATCACCCAAGAACTCCAAAGTTAAGCGTGCTTGCACGGGAGTAGTCTTGGGATGGGTGACCCCCTGGGAAGTTTCTCAGGGCGCGCACGAGTGAGGACAAAATGTGCGGTAAAGGCTCGTGGTGGTTTGTGGGGACAGTACTATTGGTCCGGAGTAACTACCTCGGGTCCGGTGGGGCCAGGGTGTTACAATGGTATGTGACAAACTTAATGAGACTGACGAAAAAAGTAAAACGGGACAAAGTTAAGGGGACAGAGGGATTATAATTCGATAATTTTTTTTTTATCTTTTCAACGATATCAACGTCCTCTTTACTAGGGGTGGGCAAAAATACTGAACCGACATGGTACCAAACCGAACTGATATGGCACAGGACCGAAAAACGGGGTTTGAAATGGATCTCAATTTTTTGTCCCGAACCGTACCAATTCTAAACAATGTCATGACTGGTTCTCATAAAATGAGGACCAGTACCAGACCAAACCGGACCGAAGTATGATTTAATTATTTAAATTTACATTTATACTATTAGTTTGACCAATGCCTTCACACTTTCACCGTTTTTGCTAGTTCATAGGAAGTCTGGAATCGGATGGATTTATGGTTTAATTATTTAAATTTGAACTACTATAATTTATCTGAAATTTATTACTTATGTAATACTACCTTCGTCTTTCTTGGTCAAACAATTTCATTTTATTCACTTAACTAGAATGTCAATTTTAATTATATTGAATTCGGAGCTTGCAACTTTGAAGAGATTTCAATGTAGTTTCTGAATATGTAAATTTTAATTATTAAAAATTGAATTAATTATCAATAAAGAGAATGAGTATGAAAATAGATAAATTGTGTGGATTTTTGAAGGATGACTAAACTTTAATTTCCTCTTAAATACTTGGAAAAAGTGGCATTGTTTGGTATTAGTATGACATGGTACCATCCCGTTATAAAATGGAACCGTACCGAACGGGTTTAGGTCTAAGACCGAACCGAACCGTTTGAATAGTCACGGTACGGGTACGGGTTCGGCCAAATATTGGACCAGACCGGAACACACCCACCCCGACTCTTTACTACTCCTTATTTCAATGGTATCAATATTGGATATAAAAGAAATTGAATCTTTTGAACGGTATAAAAAATCTATTATACCATAGTAGAAGAAACTACCTCCATCTCACTATGTTTGGTACAATTCGATTTACGATACTTGCCCGACGATAAAGCAAACTGATCCCTGTTCGCACTCAAATTATTTTTTAAAAATAAAAATTACATATTCAAAAAACTATATTAAAAACTTTACAAAGTAAGAGATTAAAAGTGATTTGTGTTGACCAAGTGAATAGCGTCTGAGACAATCTTAGCGGGACGAAGGGAGTATTTAGTACTCCCTCCGGTTCTTTTTAAACTTCAGTGTTTGACTTCACAGTTATTAAGGAAATAAAGTTGACTTTACTGTAGAGTACACTGTTGAGACACTGTTTGGCACTGTTTGGCACTGTTGAGACACTGTTTGGCACTGTTCAGACACTGTTTGGCACTGTTTAGCACTGTTTTGATGTAGATATCTTTGCCAAATAAGGAAATAAGGAAGTGTGAAGTTTATTTTGGACCGTCCCAAAAAGGAAAGTGAGAAGTTTATTTAGAACCGGAGGGAGTATATGATTCAATAATTTTTACTCGTACTTGTATATCTTTTCAACTGTATCATATGTCCTCTTTACTATTTCAATGATATCAATATTGGATATAAAATAAAATGAATCTTTTCCTAAATATCTATTATTAGCCGTATTTCTTAATTTGTTGATTTTGCTCATATGCAATATTGGCACATACAAGAAATCATACGGAGTAAAAATTATAAAATTGGATATAACTTTTTATGAGTAGGACGTTTTTAATGTTTATGAAAAATCCAAAATAAAGGAATAGGAAAAAACCAATAATTACAGACGAAATAACTTAATTTATTGAATATAATAAGCTCTCCATCATACATGAGTACATGACCATAAATTTATTTAGCGTACCAAATGCGCGTCTATTCTTGGAAAGAAACATTGATCTACTTGACAAACACAATCCTTTATTCCATTTATAACACATTTCAGTAACATTTCAACAAGACTTGCACACAACACTTCCCCTAGAAAATCAAATCATATCATACTCAGGGTGACCCTTTCAATCAATATTCAGTACTGTATCATCGCATCAAGAGAGGCCATGATGGGCTGATTCAACAGACACGTCCACAAATGATTAGTCATGAAACCATCAATCCCAGATCCATGAACAATCTCAGCAGATGGGAAGTCAAGGATTCCGCCATAGCTGCTGCTCAGGCTGAGCATTCCGGTCAAGGATGAAAGCCTGTGGTCAAGCTCCATAACCTCAGCTCTAAGAACAGAATTCTCTGCCTCCACGTTAAGGTAATGTTCTGTGGCCAGATTGATGTGTTTAAGGATGTGGGTGTTTTCGTTCCTCAGCTGCCTGGCCTGCGCTATCAGATCATCCATATGCTTCTGCTTCCTCATCCTCGACCGCTTTGCTGATTCTCTGTTCGACTCCATTCTCTTCCTCTTCCTCTCCTTCATCATCTCCTCCAAGTCCCCTCCTTCCCACCCTGAGATCTGATTCATCTGTATGCTTCCCATTGAATTCCCACTTGAAGAAACCATTCTTCTTCTTCTTCTTCTTTAATTTTATTTAGTTATTTACAAGAGAACTAGATTTCAAAGTTCAAACCTTGGGTTAAGTTTCCTTTAAGAAAAAGCTTAGTTTGGGTTCTTGGGTTGGGTCTAGATTTGTTTATGAGAAGACATAAAACCAGTAGAGGAAGACGACTGAAAAAGATTGAACAAGATGGGTCCTTCTTCTGAGTGAGGAACTGATTATAAACCCGGAACGGAGGATTTCGCTAAGAACAGGAGACATGAATCTTAAACATTAAGAACGCAAGAATAATATAATAGTAATAAACTAATAATAGTAACTGTAATGTATAGCATCAATATAAAAACCCAGATAGCTGCAGAGTAAGGAAAACCAGAGAGCCTCTTTTGCGAGGTTGGCTGGACAGGAGAAAAACAGAGTATATCAGTGAAGAAAAACAGGGCAAGAGCAGAACATCTGGGTTTTAAAAAAGAAAGCAGAAGAATGAGGTTATATAGATAGATTAGTACTTATAGTTATAATAGCTTACATAAGATCTTTAAGGGAGATGGTGATATGAGAGATGGAAGAGGTTTTACAAGAGGAGGGACAGTGTATTTATAACAGGGGGAAAAAGCTGTTCACTTATTTGAAACAGAGACACGAAGTCACGCAGAATGGTGGGCACTGGGAAAGAAAGAACAAATTCATTAAAAAAAACACTCTGTAGATGAAAAGAAAAGATGGAACAGAAGATGAAATAAAAGAGCAAGTGGAATATAATGGGTGGTTTCCGCTGTTCACTTTTTAAGGACCAAAATTACTCTCCATGAGACCATGACACCTTATTTGAGGGTTTTCGAGTCGTTCATGTACACGCTTGGCGTGTAGATGGGATTGAACTTACTATTGCTGTTCTAAGGGCACCTCCAATACAATGGTGCATGGCATTTCCACATCACCAAATGAGCACCTTGATAAAGAATGTAATCTTCAATGCAAATAGAAATAGACAAGGTCATGTTGATTTGGCAAGAGAGAGAAATGGACAAAGTGCCCTAGGAGGCTAGGAGGTCCATTTTGGGTCCTTCGGTCTCACCCTCCCTTCTCAACACAAGAGTAATTATTTAAGGTAGATTCTATCGTACCCATAAGGTACCATACCTTTATCCACATGGACCAATGAGAATGTAGCAGTTGAATTATTTAAATCTAAATTAAAAATGATATAGTGATGTGGTTCAATCACATGAATGATAGGTACGGTACCACATATTTTAGAAAGATATTGGAGTTGTCACCATTATTTAATCATTACTTTAATTTTTTACATATATATCTTTTGCATTGGAGCATGGAATGAATGGACCCTCTTCAATTTATTTATTTTGACCACATGCTCAATAGACCCTCTCCATTAATTGTACACATAAGCAGCAATCCACCCTATGGGTTGGAGATGCTCTAAATTGCTAATTGAGACCCTCTAGAATAAGAATAACAAAGTGTACCAAATAAGCGATAATCGGTTAGACTAGTCTGATTACTTCCTCTCATTGTAACCCTCACACACATACCCGAAAAACCCTACATGTCCCAAATGTCCCAAATTAAATGAAAAAAATAAAATTAAAAATAAAATATTAAATAAACACTTGAAAATCTCTCTTTCTTCCTCATCTTCATGCTGCCTTTGTGAATTTGTGATGCCCTCAATTGTGCTCCAGGGGAGTCACTAAACTAACACCTTCTTCCTTTTGCAAAAACAATTTCATTTTCAGAGGTTTCTCGAAATCCAAACTAACACAAATTCTAATCAATTTTAATGAACCTTCCCACAAAGTTGCTAATTCTCACCACATTCTGAATCGGGACCCACACGTATGCCATGTATCTGCACCGAAAAACTGATTGGTAAAAGTATATCATTTTCTCAAGTTTTCTTAAAAATAATGATAATTTGATCAAATAGCCAAGGTCCCTTTTCAATAACTTCGTTCATATTAGTCAATAACTCCGTTCATATCAGTCTCGTGGTAAAATTGAAACATGGATTGTCTAGCGCCTATATTAGTTATGGTAAAACCTTTGACGTGTTTCTAAATTGGCGCCATAGTTTCACGAAAGAGAGAAAAATGTATCGATTTCTCTGAAGTAATTGTACCCACTAATGTTAACTATACGTTGGTTATTCCCGGATTTGTAACCTCCATCATGAGCACTTCGCCTTTCTCTTTCATCTCCTGTAACACCGTCCCCAAATGTATTTACTTTCAAGTAAATGATGTAATAAACCTTATGGAATGATTTACGAATTTACGAAGTTGTAAATTTTTATTAATTCTTTCGCGTGAATAGTAAATTGCACGTGGGGCCCACACCGGGAGCGGGGGCCGCCCGACATTCCCGAGACCATATATTTTATTCATCTTGGTCTAGATAATAAATATATAGTGGTGGATATTTCATTTGGGCCATAGAAAGGCCCAGAGTTGACCGATTGGTCAAAAGAAGCCCAAATTACCGGTACTGGTAATTTAACAAATAACAACCCGAACTGAATTTCGGAGGCTTATAAATTAAAGTTGGGGAATGTATATTCATTATACATGTCATAATGAGTAAGAGCACATAATATATTTTATTTGACCCGATAAAATAAAATATATTTAAAACAGTCCGAAAAATACAACTTTCGGGGCCAATTGTACACATCGGGACATAAAGGGGTGACCTCCCACATAGGTGGGGGCCAACCCACGAAATTAGACACTCAAGACCAAGGTTGGGCCGCTGGAATGAGAATAGGAAGGTGGGAGGTGTTGGAGATTGAATGGAAAGGCATCAAAGTACATAAGGTGGACCCTCATTTTTGCACTCATTGGATTAATGAGACAAAAGTCCATTCTCATCCCTCTCCCCTCCTCAATTTTCGGCCAAGCTAGAGCAACAAGAGAAAGAAAACTCTCATCCTTCTTTTCTCCATTTTTGAAGGGAGCTCAAACAAGAAGGAAGCTTAAGAAAGGGGTTTAAGTGATAAAAGTGAGGAAGGAACTAGGTAATGCCTTCAATTACCTTTTCTTCCTATATTCTTGAATGTATTATTATTTGAGAATTTTATGAGGAACCCTAGGATTATTTTACATGTGATAAATGTAAAACAATGAGTTGGAAAGTGGTTCTAAGTCCAAGAACGGACTTAGGAGCCAAAATGACCGGTTCACCGGAAAATAACCTTTTTGAGGTTATTTGTATTAATATGGGTTTTATGATTATAAAACCTTGTTAGGCACTTGTAAAGGGTATTTCAAGTGATTTCACAAAGTTGGAAAAGTCGCCGGAATTGTCGCCGGAGTTGACCAAAAGTCGCCGGAGTTTCACCGGAGTTCAACCAAGAAGGGTAGAACTTCATAACGCTAGTTCAAGGTAAGTGGACGGCTTAATATCTTATAACTTTTGGGTTAATTATGAGATTACCTAAATAAATGTTATATGAGTTCATAATGATGTTTAAAAGATATTTAAACATGTGATTAGCCAACATGATTGAGTTGTATGAAAGGAAATTAATTGTTTATGCTTGAAATATGATATGAGGAATTATATAAAATGCATATTTGCTTGAAGTGTAAAAGAAGCACAAATGAATACTTTTAACTTAATTATATGATGATTAAGTTAATAAGTGTAAGACTTGAAATGACGGTCAACGACAACGTTGACCGATGGATAATGGATTAATTAATATCGGTTGATATTATTTAATTATACATTTATATAATTCCATGGCTTTGCATGGATTGTGATACATAAGCTTTATGTATTGAATTAGTTATGAATGACTAAGTATGATATGGACTCTATCTAGGTTGATAGGAGAATGATCATAGGGAAATATTTTGGTGGAGGACCCTAGTACTTAAAAGTACTTAACACTCAAAACTTGGTGGAGGACCCTAGGACTTAAAGTCCTTAACACTCAAACTTGGTGGAGGACCCTAGGACTTAAAAGTCCTTAACACTCAAACTTGGTGGAGGACCCTAGGACTTAAAAGTCCTTAACACTCAAACTTGGTGGAGGACCCTAGGACTTAAAAGTCCTTAACACTCAAACTTGGTGGAGGACCCTAGGACTTAAAAGTCCTTAACACTCAAATTTGGTGGAGGACCATAGGACTTAAAAGTCCTTAACACTCAAAAACTTGGTGGAGGACCCTAGGACTAAAAGTCCTTAACACTCAAATATAAATTGGTGGAGTACCCAAGGATTATGATCCTCAAAACTCATAGATTATGATATTGAAATAGGGACAAGGAGGAGTCCTATTTTCCCTTGTCCCTATTAGGTAAATGGGTGGGTTGGGTTTTTTAGTCAAGAATATTGACTATTACTATTTTCCCAAATAAAACGGTGATCTACGGATCGGATATTTTCCAAGTATATATATACTAATAAGTATTTCATAACTTGGGGAAAAAGACTATTCATATAAGTATCACCCTATGTTTGGGTCTTATACTTGAAACGCTAGTTATTCTATATTTAGCCTGCTACTCGCTTGGTACTTGTACTGACCCCTTCGGGGGGCCCCCACCATTTTCAGGTTGAAGTTAGGGCTTGCTACCTGCACCTTCCTACGGGTGACATCATATTCAAGGAAGACGTGGTTCGTGCTTGATAGCATAGAATTATGTTTGTTTATGTGTGTAATTTTAACTAGTTTTATTTGTTGTTATTTGGGAAGTTACACACTTTTGGTGTAATACTTTATTTTTCTTATTTGTTTGTAATTTGTATAGATTAGAATTATTCTGAGCTTTAACTAGGTAAAGATCATCAAAAGGATCCTTTGAAAGGTGAAGGAAAGTGCGAGGGAACAAGATCAAGTGAAAATTTGGAAAAAAAGTCATTTACCCGATCGGGTAAAGCATATACCCGATCGGGTATTGACTTGATTCGAAGATCAAATCTGATTTGGAGGCAATTTAACGTGCATGGTGAAGATTTGGCAAAGATTTGTCTTTTACCCGATCGGGTAAATCAAAAACCCGATCGGGTAAGATGTGACAAATGAAGATCCCGGGCAATTTCTCAGGAAACCCGATCGGGTAAATCAAAAACCCGGTCGGGTAAATGGCCCTGACAGCTCCAAACACCTATAAATACTAAGATGACAATTAGTTAACATCTTGACATTAGTTATAGTAATAGCTATTTCTTCCTCTATGTTAATATTGGGGAGTGTTACTAAGATGACAATTAGTTAACATCTTGATATTAACTATAGTAGGATTCATCTTCTTTAATATTCTTTCTTGAGTATTAATTAATTCCTATTCATATTTCATATTAATATTTTGAAAATTACTTAAAGGATCAACTAGTTTTGTTTCATATATTAATTATTACTAGAATCAATCGGTTAATACGCTTGTTATTAATTCGGTTCTTTCAATGGTAGTAAACTTGGATTGTTAATGCATGCTTCTCATGGTTAATAAACCAAGGGGAATTAATTATATTGATTAAACCAATAAACCGCTTGTGTTGAGGTTATCAATCTCAATCGTTTTCATCTTAAGTTTATTGCTACTATCAAGTTAATATACGGCGCTTGTTCTATATTGCCTCGTTATTAATAACTACCCTCGATGAACTGGATATACTCCTCGATTGAGTATTCGAGATGAAGATAGTTAAAGACATAACCGGGATCGACGAACATTTCATAAAGTGGATAAAAGCAAAACCAAGCCTCCATCTCTATTAAAGTAAACCACAAAACTCGTTCATCTTCGTGTTTAATTTTAATTAAATCACTCAAACCTAAACCCCCCCTTTTGTTACTAGTTAATTAAAAAGAGAAATATTCCTTTCCCTGTGGATACGAACCTTACTTCATTATACTACGTATAATTGTTGTATTGAATATTATTTTGAGTGCACACCACGACAAAGTGCACGTCAGTGCTTCCTCGTGTTCTTTCGAATTACAAAATATTGCTCATGGATATTTTTATTTGTTTACATTACTTTTGGGCTTGCATGCCCATGTTGTTGGTCGAATGTGGCCTATGACTTACCGTCGAATATTTCCGCTATTCATTGGTTAAATTGTGATGTTGTTATGTATGTTTACTACTGAGTATGGATGGATTATTTTCTCGAACGCCTTGTGTAATTAAGTGAGGTTGACTCGCGGGTGACGTCACTTGACTATACGGCGGTTGTACACGCGCTTGGATTGCGGTCTGGGGCGTGACATCTCCATCCTACCATATATAAGTGTGAGCCAACT